CAGTGGGACCGTTAAGAGTGACCCATAATCAAGACCATAGAGATTAACAAAGAGTAGCAATAGTTTCATATTTGAAATACTGAGTGGCGAATGATTTAGTAACTCAAATAGCAAGGGATCAGTACATAGTTTCCTTTTTCTCAACTATTTCAGCATCCGATATATAATTTGACAGAATCTGTTGAAGATCTTGTATACTTTAACGCTAGAACCACCGTGCATTTAATACGATTAATATATAATCCCCATAAAAATTGTAACAATAGATTATTTTCAGTTTCTTCAGACATCCATTACAATAGTCAAGTAAAACTATTGATTTTCAAGATAATTTTGAATATTCAATGCCTTCAAGATATCAATAATTGCGGTACAGACAAATCGAAACCAGTCATTTAGACTGGCACGGTAGTTTTAGTGAAGAATCTTCATCCACAAATGGTTAAAAGAACCCTAGTGTCTTAATAGAGATTAATCCTCTTTTATCTAATTTCTGTCTCATTCCCCTAACACAATAGTCGTGATTCTTCATTGTTAAAATTGCGTACACCACCCCGTATGTCTGCGGACCGACGACGTCACCCAAGGGACAAGTCGCGCTCGGTGTCCCTTCTCGAAGGGCGCATTCAGGCCTCGCGACGCAGCGTCGCATCGGTAGCATTTCTATGAGCGTCGATTGCCATCAGCGCGGATATTCTTTTTCACCGCGGATTTTTTCCCCTTTATCTTGATCATTTCATCCCCCGCACATCCACGCGAGTCTGATTTACTCGGCGGCGCACGGCCGGGCGTTATTCATCGAGACGGGGATGCGGCCACGATGAAACGAGTCTCGATTACGTAGGCGTGTCCGTTAGCCAAGCTGCTTCTAATTACTCGCGTGCCGCTACTTTTAATTACACGTGTGCCGAATCACGCGCGACCTTGCCCCGATACTTCCCGGTATCGAAATTCGAAACGATCCTGGAACTCGGAGCGACGCGTCCATCGAACGAACCCGATCGCTTTTATGGAACCGATCCGATCGCCCGATACGCGCTGTTCCCTGGAATCCAACGCGATTCTCACGACAGTGAGAATCAACACGTTAACCTTGATCAGGCTTTCCCCTGCAGGGATGCAGGTCTTTCTCGACCCAAATCGAGAGTAATTTTTGTTGTGATCTTTTTAAGAGACGAAGGTTAAAAGCGGAGCTCTTTTCAGTTTGCTCTGTAAATTAAAAAGTTGCGTGTGTACACAAGCAACAGACGTAACAGAAATGAACTTTTCTTGTTTACCATGCTTTAATGAGATTCGTTACGGAGGACCTGAATAAATTTTGTAATATCGTAGGATTTATAAAATATTGTTCCTCCAATTTGATGCTGGTTTCTAAGGACCAACACTACGATGAATGTTTTAAGTGGACAGGCCTGTTAAAGGGAATAAAACGCTGGAATACTGATGACGTCCATTAAACCGCGCGGGAAAGAATGCGCGCGAAAGAATTGTAATCGCGAGACTGGGAAACTTGCCGGTCGCGGAACTGTTGGATGAAAGGATGAAAAGATCATTATCTTGTAATGAATTTCGTGAAGATTTTTAATGGACTGGAGAGCCTCGCCGCGTAAATGAAGAGGGCCACGAATTGGTGTGCAGTATTGTTCGTTAATGCTGGTACTTTTCGTTGAGTCGTGTTTATATTTTCACGTCACACGTGGAATGAGACTTCGTTTTGCAGATTTCATTTGTGGACGTCAAACTTTTCCTTCGCAGTTTCGGATAAAATCGTGCAGTATTTTCCATGTACGAGTTGTTTAATATCGTCTCACGGTTCGCCGGCGCAAAGTTCCAGCCAATTAACGGCTTCCACGGGCCGGGTAAAAAATTGAAACTATCTTAGCAGGGAAGTTCAAGTTATAATTACACAGGAACTGATGGCAAGGGAAGAAGTCGCGAGCGAGGGATGATATGGCAAAGTTTCCAGGTGACCGGGGAAGAATCTTCGTTTTTCCAGTGGAGACCACTTTGAAGGCTGGTGCTTGAAACAAATTAATTTAATCTGAATTACCGATCGGCATAATGTAATCGTGTTATGCTCGAATCCGATTAAACGTTCCGAAGTCTAAATGGAAAGGCACCGGTCACCTGCAGCTCGCGTTTAATACGTTTCGGCTGGAGAACGAACATCAAATACGCTAAAATGTGTAATTCGAGATATTCTAAAACATCTGCATACGTATCCCTCGTATCGGATCTAATTTTAACGCGCAACAACAACGCGGAGGGAAAGAATGACGCGTTACTCGAGAGAATGCAGGTACTACTTCGACAACGCGGCAGCGGACAAGCCCGTTGCTTCCGGCGGACGGTGGAATTAATAAAAATTCTGTCACCGCCGTTGTGAAGCCTTTCACGAGCAACGGATACAAACACGGTACGCGTCGCGTACCGAGGTGTTCCGCGAATAGAGAGGAAAAATTTCACACGCGGTAAACACGGGTCGCAATTGACGACGACAGCTTGCGAATTCGTCGCAGCGGGTGACCCGACGTGACGGTTGTTTAGACGTACAAGTAATTTCGGCTGATCCCCGGGAAAGTATCTGTCCCCGTCATCGCGTTGGAAAAGGAATTCCGGCGTCTTTTCCAGGTCGACCGAATTGCAGAAACGTACGACACTCGTAAAAAACCGGATCTACGATACCTTTATTACTCCGATAAAAGAAGGTACTTTCTTACTACTTTGGGAACCAGCAACAGGTACCTTTATTGCTGCACGCACCGCGTACGCACCGCCGAAAAGTTCCGTAAACCGCGTGGCAACCTTCCTTCGCGCTGCGCAACTTAATATTCAACTCCCCTGTCTTAATTTCGACGTTTCAGTTAACGAAGTCATTCGAGAGCAGTGACTGCGATTTCATTTTCACAGACCTGACCGTCTTGCGCTTCGAAATACCTTAAAGTTTCGTGGCGAAAGGGCTGGAAGGGTTGATGAGATTGCGGTCGAGATATCCCTTCACACAACCACTGAGGAGACTCCCTATCGCGCAAAAATTTAATATCTTCTTCGACTTTTTTGTAGTTTAGCATCTCAGAATTCGAATTACAATGCAATTACGTAGAAATTGGTAGAGATACTAACGCTTAGATAGAACGGCAGAGGTGTAAATCGAACTGGAGGAAGGTGTCAATTATTTCGTCGAGTCCATGTACTGTATCAGAATATTTAGACACCTGTATACCTGTTACAACTCGAAATTGAATAAATGTATTTAGCAGAAATACTGCATTCTTAAATTACACGGATTAACCCTTTGCTGACGAAGATCCCTTGAAGTACAGGAGACGTTTAGCAGATGAAGCTAAATTATATATCGATTGCTTAGATAACTGAAAAACTATTCGAGCAATTAAATCACCCCTTTGCGACTTCGCATTCCAAATATGAAAATTTCATCTCGCCGAAATGCCGACGTTCGTCCGCAAATGATTAAAGTATAAAGTTTAGAGCTTCGTACGTATGTGCGATACTTTTTTGTAGAAAGAATTCCCAAATACATGTCGCCTCGTTTCTTACGGTCTCAGTGAAGTAGTCCCTTAAGATAGAAACGGGGATACCGTTGTCGTGTGTTGGGACAATAGAGATTCTAGTCTAACTGCAGTCGGCCAGGATTCTTGGCGGTTTCTCCCTTGGTTCTTCAAGACTGCGAACGAAACGGAATCAGAAGAAGAATACGAAAGTGGGGAAGAAAACTGCCTCGGTCGTAGGAGTATGGATATACAAAAAGAAGGAAAGAGTATGGTTGGCGGAACGGAATCGAGCGGGGGAGCGTCTGGCTTAATAAAGAGGCTCCGCTCACGAACGTCCTTCCCATTGTCAGGCGGGAGAACACTTCACGAAAATTACCCGCAATTAAGTCGGTGCCGTCGGGCAGAAAGGTTGTAAGTGGGCCAACGTGATTACACGGACGAATGGTAAACTCCGAAGATCTCGTTCCCCGACAGATTGTTCGCCACCTTGTTTACGTGGCACGTTGGACCACCAGTCAACTGACGAATCAAATGATTACGCCACCGTTCGACCGTCCATTATACACGGAGACATACACGGCAACCACTGGATTTCATTTAAGCGACGACAATATTTCGTATTGATGCAGACAAATGCATCGAAACGATCGATACATTTGTATAACATCGATAAACGTTTCTGGAACGGTTTGAATATGATTTGAAATACTTGACGATTTAATGGATTCGAGGTCACAGGTTTGATGCCAATGCTACGCAATATTTAACGTCAATGTTTTAACACGTTTTAACAGTGTCGCGTGTACACTGACAGGAAGATTGAAAGGGGCTATCCGTTTAAGCGACGATTACGGCTTGCTCCTTTGAAAGAAAATAATGCCGGTCGTGATAGCTGTTCACTACACCAGGATCACTCGAGACTGATGATGCTTGGATACTCGCCGGGAATGAGCGAAATTTAGAGAAGACATATTTCGAACATGTTCCCGCCTTTGTGCTCGGAATTATACCATTTTCATCTTTCTTTGTAATCCTTATTCTAGGTAACTGCTTCGAGACCGTTCAGACGTATAGGTCGGGTGCAAGTATTTTTTGGAATTATTAGAGCGCGAACGCTACGCGGTGACACTTTAAATTAGAACGACCGCGCTCAGAACGACGTATTGCAAGAAACCTCGGCGTCTTTGAAATCTCTTGCGCTCGAATCGCGAGTCCGAATTTGCACGCGATGCTTTGAAACCTGCCACGTTACTCTTTTGTTGGGAGAAATGGTTAAAGTATCCGGAACACCTTAGAAATACACGCTGCAGGTTTACTTTTTTTAAGGAACGAATGTAAACACAACAGGTTAAAAGCAGTTCACTTCTAAAAGGATTCTAAGAACACTGTACTCTTTCAAAACCTTGCCCCTAGTGTGCATGAAATAACGAACTGGCAAAAACTTGATTTCAGAGGTATTCTCGGGGAAATCGTGTTCGATAGACTCACCGTCGATGTCGATCTCTTCCAGCATGGTGTGAAGTTCCTCGGCCCTCGCGAACTGCCCGAGAGAGCGCATCACCCTGCCCAACTCCTCCTTCGTGATACTTCCGTCGCCATCCTTGTCGAACAGCTTGAAAGCCTCCCTGAATTCTACAACAATGAAATCCCGAGCACTTAGTAAACCGTGATTCTCTTGTTACCTTCTACTCGCGGATATTACATGGCCACTGGTTCATCGCAAACCGGAAACACTGGGAACGAAAGCAGTATAGTACTAAAACTCGTTCAAAGTAATTGATAACTCTCGCACCTCGAATATTACAGAAAAACTGTCCATATTTTCACTATCAAAAAATCATATGAACTCAACGAAGACACGTCTTGATTTGACATAACAAAATTAAAGTCCTATATACAACATTAAGTTTCCTATGCATCAAACATCGAAATAAAATAGTTTTATTTCTTAATTCACGTGTGTTTCCTGTTAGTCGCTTCCACAGGGTGTCGCTCGTACTTCACCGGAGAACATTGAACATTTCTAACGAAAGACTTTCGTGTGCAAAGGGTATCAAAGAGAATGTTCCGAGAAGCACGGTGTCACGAGTGATTCCGTCACGGTTAATTACTCGCGCGGAGCAAAGTTGGCGAACGCTGGACGAGACGTAACCCGATTGTCGAAGACACCGCAGGAATCGTGAGACAGACCACTTCTCCCGCGACCCTTGGCGGGTTTTTTTCAAACCGTGGAGTTAGGGAGGTGGGTCGTTCGAGCTGATTAAACGCTTCGGTCAATAACATTCCGCGATGTTTGATGGCCGCGGGTCGGCGCAGCGCGGCGCATCGGCCGGCGGCCACGGTGAGAAGGGACAAGCGGTCGGGCTCGGATAGTCGGTGCTTGACTCGACCGTTTAATAGCCTCGTTTCACGGCCCATTGATTTTGTACGTACCGGCGGCTATGGTTTTCCTATAAGCACATTCTGCGCCGGCATATCCATGCGCTATTGTTTGCCGGCCGGCCGGGGGAATGAGAAACGGCGGAGAGGGGCCACGGCGAGAGACGAAGCGAGAAAACTCGTGATTTCGCGCTAATGGGTAACGGCGAAGAAAAAGCGCGCAGGAAGGACCGTCGACAAATAGGTTCTGCTTAACCCGGTTACGGGATCGCGGTTTCGCGTCCCTTTCTTCCTTCCCGACCCATTCTATTCCACTTTTTCCTCGAACGTATTTCGGACACGTTTTACTCATACATATATGAGGACACTAAGTCGGCCGATATACATTATTTTTTAATCGATGCGTTTGCCTTACCCTCTGCACTCCGAGTGATTTTTAATATGATCTTTCAGCGACTGCGAATCATTTCTACTATGAGCTACCAGTTACTGGAGTATTTACAATGGTGCGAGCGCATCTGTGAGAGATTGGAGATCTTGTTTTGTCATTGAGAAAAACGCGTATGTATTTTAAAGTTATGTTTGATTAAAAAGAGTTATAAACTTATTTTACAATGTCGTCGACAATGGAGTGCAAAGAGCTTACTATCAGAGGTGAGATAGAAAGATCAGATTAAGTCGAGTAGAGAATCGTTGGTTGTAAGTTGACGGAAGTTCCTTGGTGTCTTCTGTTGATTCTCGATGAAGTTTCGTCTACCATTATTATTTTACCAGGTCGTAAATCTGTTCCTGCGTCGTTTCATCTTTTATTACTATTGAACCATTTGGAAGCTTGTATTCGTACAACTTTCCCTATTTCTTCTATTTGCAAGCAAGCCAGCCCCATTTCGCGAGGAAACCTTGGTACAGGCTACATCCACTAACTCAAGACGAAACCGCGCTTTAGTTCCTCGATAGCGTTACTGAAAAAAACGCCAGGTGAAAGCCGTGGAACTTAAGTCGTCGACGCAAGAGTATTCCTCTTTGCGGCAAAGCGATAGGCAAGCTCTCGCGTGTCGCGTCTTGACAAGCGACACGCGAGACTTCTTTGCCTCGAATTTCTTTTGACATCCCTCGGTTTTCAGCGAGACCCGTTCACCGGTGGCCGACCGACGAATCCCACTGGCTGCGTAAAACGGCTTAACGACGGCCGACCGTTTTCGCAACGATGAAAGCGCATTTCATATTGGCTCGAACGATCGATCGTTACACTTTCCACGCCCCCCTCCGTTTCTTTTTGCATTCGAAGTTGAAATCGCGGTAGTGAAAAGGTCGGATATAAACTTCCGACTTTCCAACGGCCGCGAAAACCGTGCCGAGGAATGGTACTTCCGTTTGCGCGCGACATGCACGCCAGGAAAATCAATTCCCGCGGGACTTAGCATTAATTGGAGAGATTTCGCCTGGCGGCAACCGCGAGCTCCGTGTTAACCGCGATCGCGATCGATGGGAACAAGCGAAAGACCGAACCGTACGCGCTCGACGTCGGGACGTCATCGCGGCGGAGCTAACGAATCGAGAAGGTAACAGCGAACGAACGTTCGAAATACGAAAATTCAATATTGCGATCCGCCCTGACAGATCCCGAATGTTCCGTCCGTAATACTTCGAAATTCTTCTCTGTGCCGCGGACTTCGAGAGGAAATTTTTGTCAGCGCCTATTCGTTATCCGTAATTTTTGAAGTCACTGAAACGTCCCCGACGAAGAAGAATTGCTGGCTACAGACTGAACGGATCCTTTCATTCGGTGCAGCTGGAAATTTTGAAATTGTAGTCGAAATCGTACGCTGCGATGATCCGTTGGATATCGGTGGAAAGTTTCCAAGGTACTCGATGTTTGAAGAACAACTGTTAAGCAATAAATTACTATCCACTGGTATGTGTCTCGCGCTACACAACGTGGTGTAACTTTTAGAATATTGTATAACGTGCTCCCGTGAACCATATCAGAAGTTTCGAGATAATCACCTGCATAATAAATTGTGTCACGGATCTCCGAGGCACGCGGTTATCAAAATTTCAACCATTTGTATTTCTAACTTTGTTCCCTTTGTAGTGATTAATTGTGAGAACGATGGTAAATTCAGCATCTCTGCTGCGTTAAAATATTCCGTCAGCTTTTAATATCCCCTCATTCGAGATTCCGCGATAAGAATTTCTTTTTAGACTCATCTGAAGCAATGTATTCGGATGAAACGTTAACAGAAATGATTTACCGGATTCTTCCATCGCTTCTACCTCGGCTATTACAAATCTGGTTCTACTTTTTCATACCGTCGAAATGTCTTCGCTGAATAGAGACAATGGCTTGCTGATAAAACTTCCCTCCCCCGAATAAAAAAAGAAAAACGTTTCTGGAAACGTTCGTTTTTAAGTTACGGGGCGTTCCTGCCAGTCAAACGTTATCTTTGAATAGAATGGAACTTATATGCTCGACGTCTCCGCCATTCATTTCGACAGATGTTTTAACACGTCCCCTCGGAGAACGTCGAACTCGTTCGAAGATCCTACTCCATTTACTCGCTGCCTGACAACAGCGGTAAACTTGCCGCATCAGCTCTTCGAACACATCAACCGATTCGCTGGTACCTGAAACTCTACGAGTGTTTCCACGAATGGTAATCGTGTCGATCCCCGAACTTCCCTGCTCCCTGAAAGTGTGTTATAATCGAAAATACTTCAAGTAACCGTTATTATCGGATATTGCACCGAAACTCCTGCGGGAGCTATTATTATATAATGAACCTTTTCACGAATACCACTTCACATTGCTGTTTCGAGCATGCCTCTTATCGTTTCTACGTTACCAGCGTTTTAATTACGACTCGGCAAATGAAATTTCAACACATCATAATCGGATTATGAAAATAACCAGGGATTATTACATTGTTCTGCAGATCAAGAATGTGGCAACGCAGATAAATTACATCCATTAAATTTCACCCGGAGGATCCGAACACATTTAATTTATATAAAAGAGTATACATTCTCCAAAAAATCTAACTATAAAATCATCGAAGAACTCAGAAGAATTCGTAAAGAATTCGCATCCAGTGTTTCACTAAAGGTTGTTCGTGAACAATCACGGTAACTCGGACTCACCTTTCATCTGTGATTTCGTTATATTCGACGAGACCGGTGCAGGTCTTTTCGGCGATACGGGCAGGGAAAAGAGGACGTTCGTCGACAGCTTGCTGGCGTCCGCGGACGAAGAGGCGGCCGAAAACATGGCGGTCGCGGCGGTCACACCACGGTACTGACCATCTTGCTGTGCGCCGAGCTGCTGCGAGTCGGCCGCTGACGATATCGATGGATGGGATTCCGCGGGCAGGAACGGCAGCGGTACTGACGTAACTGTCATCGTCGACGTCGGCGTTGCCAGCGCTGTCGTCATCGTCATCGTTATCGTCCCCGTCGACATCCTCGGGGAACAGCCGCCGCTCGTTCCTTCTTGCTCCTCGGCGTTCCCTACCGCCCCGCTGCTTTGTCTCGTCTGCAAACATGTCCAAGCAAAACCTGGTTGACGAAAGTTCGTTAACACGCGACCCAGGCCTGCCTAATTGCCGTTACATTCGTTATCACCGGCGGTTTCCGCGGGCTACGGCTAAAACAAACACGAAACGGACCCTCTTTCAATGAGCGCAATGGAAACGCAACGGCGGGGAAGAGGAGAAGCCTTTTTGTTTGCTTTCGTTTTCGGACGGGAGCGCTCGCGTTCGCAACGGAACGCGTTTAACGAGCTAAACGCGACGGTTTTGTAGGTCGCGATTTAATGCTTGGCACCCGGTACCGCATCGAGCCACCTCGATAGCCACAGGTGGCTCGACGCACCACGTTACGATGGACAGCTCGCCGCGACACGAATGGGAACGATAAGGCTGGATAACCCTGACTGACCTCCATACCGTTGGGTTACTTTCAAACTTCGATGCAGAAAGATTCGAGGTTTAACCTAGACGCTAATTAAGATATAATTCATCGGATACGCACGAGGATACCGTTGGGCGAAAGAATTCGAAAAGCACACTTTATAAGCTCCGAACAGTTGCTATTTATTTCCGCGCGTTTAAATATCGGAAAACTACTTAGCGCGCCTTGCTTACGTCGAGTACGAGATATACGGTACACAAATAGGTCAATAAATAACGGATAATAGCATAATTAATAACGAGCGTTAGATCGATTAGAGTCGAACGTCAGAGCGTAAAGATTAAGGCATCCCCAATGGACCTTTAGAATGAGCAACGATCTGGATCGCTGAGAAATATCGCGACACTTTATTATTGTGTACCACGATACGATATAAATACGCGGAACAATCCGCTTATCGGTAGGAATGGCTTCGGGGGAGCTCGGTATTACGTTTTTCAACGAGCAGCGAGAATAGACTCTCGGCTGGCGAACGTCAATTTCACGAGATACCAAGATTCGACGACGAGGCATCGTCCCGCGGTAATAACAAGTGCAACGCGGATTACCCGTTCCCTTTTTCATGTGACCGCCGCGTTGAACCGTATCCCTCCGAGTGGGATAATAAAAATGCATCCGCGAGTAGTCATTTCGAGGTGGAAACGGGAGCAAACTCCGTGTACAACTGGAACGAAAAATACGCATTGTTGCGGTAATAACCTCGAAGCGACGGGCACTTGCCGTTTCGTGGCAAACTTGGACGCGTGTTCTGACGGCGCCGTTAGTTGGAGAAGTTTATCGGCTGCGAAGATTGGGGGAGGCGAACCTGCCAAACCGCCCTCGGTCGCCCATCTGGCCCGCAACGTTCATAGATGCTCCCCTTGCGGCCGCGGGGCATCAAGATGCCCGTGGACACCGGCAGCTACCATATATACGCGGCAAACCTATCCGTTTAGTCGGCGAATCGATCGAATGTTTTGACATTTGACGCGACGCCCAGCTTCCTTTGTGACTGCCGACAGCATTGCCGTGGAATGATTGAAGGCACGACAATGGTGGATGGAATGCGAATCGAAGTAGGTGACTCTATTGCATCGGGATGCGAAATTGTTTGTATCCCGTAAGCAGAAGGGTTGCTCGAATTGCTCCGCGATGAACTGTCCGATAAGGATTGCTAAAAGCTTTCGTTTATCGAGGTTTGTCGGTGAGAGAAGCATTATCCGGGAGGAACTAGTACTTTCACTTCATACGCATTGTTACGAGATGCTGTGAAAATGTAAACTTCCGTAAGGATCAGGAGTTTGGTTACGAGTAGAGTCTCTTCGGGAACACTGAATAAATTGAACGCGATTACCTAGAGGCTACGGCGCACGGAGATGGGACGAAGTATATTATGAGCAGGTTCATTTGCTTCGAGTGCGAAAAGCAATACTTTTAAGTAGACTGACGCTTGCAAGAGATGCGAACGATCTTGTTATAAGTGGTTCAAGATATTTCAGCGATGCTTTCGAGAGCGCAAACTTGACTCGCGTTCATGAATGCGCATTAATGCGATCCCGCCTTTAACGACCTACCCTTATTAACGGTAAATGAGCATTCGTCATTCGTCATGATAACGCTCGGGCACCCGTAGATATATCGCCCCGAGAAGAATCTCGTGACGTGGGTCGGCCATCTATCACTCCCCACAACCAGGCTATCTGCTGGTCCTAAAATGTTTTTTTAAAAATGCAAATTGGAATGTTCCTCGATGGGACTGCGTGAAAATGGCGGATAGAACGAAACGAACTTTCCCGTGGAATAGTCCGAGATTCAACGATAAACCAGCGTTGATGTCCGTCGAAGTAGCTGGCAAACACGGTGTCTATGCCTCGAGTGGTTGATTTATGAAAGAAAGTTACGCCGCAGGGGAGCTGAGCGTGCGGGAAGTCGCGAACAGGTTAACGCTGTTTGGGGCGCGCGGTGCACGTGTGCCTGGGCAACAATGGAGAAGTAACTTTGATACTTTCGACCGAATCTCGTCGGTTGCATTCGGTCGTGTTCCGCTAGTTTCGTTTCCATTGAAAGATCTAACATTCTTATCGAGACAGCTCGTAAACAGGGAAACAAGAATTCCGTAACTGAAATCATCGCGAGAAGTGGAAAGTAGTACGTGACTAATTGGTTGAAAGAAGCGAGAGGTAAACGTGACCATTTCCCGAGCAGATTCCGCGCGAACACCGTGGTCCCTAGTGCAGAACCAACGAAACCGATCTCTTTTCCCTGAAAATTCGACGACGTGATACACGTCACGGCGATAAAACTCTGAACGGACAGCGCGCCAAATTGCAGCGTGGCTGTTTTTGCGCACGGAATGGAAAGAATCCCGCAAGGAGCGCCATATCAGCTTTAATCTTTCTCGGAGATCGAGGGCTCACGTATCGCGAGGATCATAAATTCGGTTCTGGCGCGGAAGAGGAACGGCCCCTCGTATTATCGTAATTCTCGCCTGCAAATACTTCCCCTTCGCGGCCGTGCAGGAAAAAAATAAATCGAGCTCGGAAGGAACTCTTTGTGCTGGATAGAATACGGGGAGAAAGAAAGTGGAACGCTACATCCGCGAAGGCGGAGAGCTGGACGAGTTCGATTCATTAAATTCCGAGCAATCGGTCCGACGTTGATATCGACGATTCGTCTCGGACGGGAGTTACACGGGCGATCGGTGGACGGCACTTTTCGAATTTGAAATCAACCGAATCACAACCGAGAGAGAAAGTTCCGCGAATCGGATAACAAAAGAATGACGGGACGAGTCCTGTCCGCCGTACAAACTGCCCTCACTTTTTCTCTCGTTTATTTCCCAAGTAAAAGCACAGTGGCAAAATCGAGTTCTCGTTAAACCGTCAGCGGTCGCTGATCAATCCTGACACTTTTGTCCCGGACGACGATTCTTTGGATCGTTCGCCGATTTAAATTACATTTCACCGCTGCCACATGCGGACAAAGCGAACCGTAGCCTATTTTATCAATTCCGGGCCGACGGGATTCTGCTCGAAATTGCGATCCAATGCGATCCGTTCGCAAACACTATTAGAGGGCGGTTTCAATGCACGGTAGCAAAAGAAGCGCCGATTTCCTTAATTAACGTATACTCGGTCAACGATCATATCCGTCTTTGGTGGGAATCTTCATTGAATACATACTAACTTTTCTTAGCGGCAAGATGATACAAGGAGAACTTGACATAGCGATAGCTCCAGAACTTTCATTTGACTTTATGTGACTTGACAACGGAAACTGTAATGTACTCTAACCAGTATTTACGGGTGCAAACAAGTTAGCACTGATGGTGACATAGAGTTGAAGTTCATTCGAGACCAATCGTAGAAGCAGCCGAGCGAGGTGGTAACTCTTGGTATCGAGAAACTGTAGATTATCGAGTTCAAGTATTGTATTTAGAACTTCGTTGTTTTAATGTCTGAGGACTATTCGAGATCATCATGCTACAGCTTTGTTCTAGTAAAAAGATCTATATTTTTCGCTAATAACCATGAAGCTATCTACTTTACATTTGTTTCTTAATGAACGCAAATTGAGGCGTAAGCGTCGTGCAGCTGCACCGTTGACAGTCTTCTTAACTCATCGCGCACCCTTCATTCCTTCCGCATATTTCACTATCGAAGGGAAACTTCATTAGCGGCGACGACACTAATTGCTCCGCTTGATATTCTCGCGGTCGATGGCGCAGCTACTATCATCAGCTTTCAGTTTTCTTTACTGATCGCTCGGTTACAAGAATATCACGAAATTTAGCTCCCTCGCTGTCGTTGAGCCGGCTTGCCTCCGGAAGCGAAGGTCGTAGCTCATTTAAGTGTCGCGACGCGAACATGTTGCTTAATTGATTCGTCTCCGAGCGGAGTATCTCAATGAGCAATTAGATAGGAGATCGTTGTCAATTCTACGGACAATTACATCGGACACGTAGCAAGTCTTAAACTCGACGCACGTTAATTCCTCTGCGAAATGAGAGGTATACCTATACAGAGGTGATTAAAGAACGTTTTCTTCGAATACTGATGAGAGGCCACGAAGCGGGGCGGAATGTTTGATGGCGTCGGCCGTAATTTCCCGGGTTAGGACTTTTAATTAAAACGTCCGATCGGAAATGCCATCGACACCCGGTGTTTGCGAATCATAACTGACCCCGTTGCGCTTCATTAACGCTTGCTAACGTTTATTACGGGGGATGATCCATCGGTGAAAAGGCAACGGTAATACTACAAATTATCGCGGTGACCGGTCAATCCGGTTGGAACTTCGCTCGTTAACGGAGAAATTTATCGGCGATGCGTTGGATCCCGTTGAAGGAAACCGATACACGGCAACGGTTAAGTTCATGCTCGCGCGTAGCCGTAAATCAACGATTTAAGAACTAGAAACGCACGGTCGGTGGAGATTTGTACCGTGGGCAAGGGAGTCACACGCGCGCGGACGCCGCGTGAGGAACGCGCAGCGAAGAAGCGGGGCGAAAGAATGGAGACAGCCGGGGAAAAAGGGAATTTACGAGCGCCGGGTGGAGGAACGATAAGACACGCCACTCGATCACGCTGTCTCGCATTTTGATTGAACGAGAAACGAGAAAACTTGGGCCGACTTCCACGCATCCGGTACAATTTGCATGCGACAACATCGAAAGCTGCATACAGGTGATAACAGTTTTACGCTGTCATTAAAGGCCTAATTCCGTCTTGCGCCGTTCAACGGCCGTTCCGAAGCATCGAACGGCCAACGGAAGTGCGCGGGCGAAGCGTCGCTTGTAATTGGTGCTCGATATTCATACCCCCCAAAATTGCTCGCAACAGGGCGTCCATGCTCGATTTCCACGGAACCATGCATATTTATGGGAAACAGGGACACGACTTTTTTCAGGTCGCCAAGTGAATTAAGTTCGCACGGGTTCGAGACGAAATTAACCGGGGTATATTCCCTTCCTAAATATCCGCATTAACCGTCTCGCGTCCTCGTGAAATTTCCGAGCGACCCGCGAGCGAACGCATGCGCGACGCCGTGAATTCAAAACGAAATTAACGCGGTTGTTCGGCGTGGCTGAAACTCGAATAATTTTAATTCCGCGGGGGTAAACGAAGTTGTCGAGCGCACGCGATTCTATCGAACGTTCGTCTAAAAAGTTCCCTTTTCCATGCGGAGTAGTTACCAAGATGGTATCGGCGAAATGAAACTCCTGGGGCAGTTCCGGCCCTTCGCGCCCGGTATTCGTGGAACCGAACGCAGCGTGTGTCGTATCGGTGTACAAGATTTGCCTCGGAATCGGGTAGGGACGTTTCATTTGGAAATTCCGGGCGAATATGAAATGTCCCGTTCAGCCGGCGAACAGCCCCGTTCGCCAGTCAGCCGTCCAATGTTTCTAAGACAAATTGCGCGCCGCTTTTAGGCGCCGCCGTGTGTACGGTCGCCTCTAATGTCTGTTATACGGGGCATCCGAAGCACGGAGAATTTCACCGAGTACTCCCCGGTTTCTGGATCAGCGTAATTTGTAGACGGCGCGGTCGGTTGAGCTCCTTTAGCGTCGAAACGGCGATTCGATTTGCAACGGGCAAATAACCAAGGCAAACTCGCGCCTCGCGCGGCGACGCGACGGTTGAAACTGTCTCGCTCTGTCCCGTTCGTCCATCGGGGGCCACGATCGCGCACGCTCGCCGGTTTTCTAAAAATCTTTTTCTAACATTCGAGGGTGCATTTTTCGAGATAACCAGATAAGACACAACCCGCCCCACGTCGGCTGTGAATCACTTCGTTCGAGTGCGCGATGCCCTCGCACGTTTCCGATACATTCTTCGTGCACAAGGGTGCCGCGCGAGACCGGAACAGCGGGTGATTTGGTCTACATTCTGAGATTGATCGAACGCGTCAAATAGAACTCCCTCCGATAAGGTCTGCGAGGAATTCTTGTTTTCGCAGAGCGAGGCGGGGACGATAAATATACTGGGGATGCGGTAGCTTCGGGGATACTTTCAAATTTCAGTTGGAACACAATGCTCGATGCATTGGACAGCGTCCGATCGGAAGTGCTAACGCAAAGATTGATTTTCGATCGCCGTGTTTCCGTTATTGTAGGTGTCTCGCTTGAAAAATGCAGTTTTCGGAACTCCGTGAACACGCGGCGGGTAGTATCTCGATGAATCAATGGGAATAGCGTTTACCGTGAACACTGTAAATGCCTAGTATCTGTTTCTTGGAATTAATTAATTGTTGCGTCCGCGTATTTCACGGCGATTGCGACCGTAAACGCGGGAAACAATCCCGGGATACTAAACTCCGGTAAATCCGGAGCGCGGGAAGTTGTTTGAGCGTGGTCGATGCTGCATATTCGACGGGTGCTAATTGGGAATGCACGAAATTACCAAGAATTAACCGATTAATCGGTCGGCTGGAAAGGGAGACAAACGCGTTGAGGGAGAACTCGTTAGCGCTGCGGCTGACCACCCGTTTACGGCCGATTTCACGCCAAGCGTCGTTCACGGCTATGATTTCTCGTATTAGAAAGGAAATGGCCGCAAATTGGAAAGAGAAATACTCCTGAGTCGGACGTTCGAATAAAAAACAATAATTACGCGAAAGCTTAACGGAGATTGCTCGTCCACGAATTGGCTGTCGGGTGTTTCCTAGATATTTTGAAAATATGTATTCTCGCTCCTCCTCTATAAAGCGATTATTATTAAACGCTTCGATGGGGAAATCTTGCGCGCATCCTGAGCGTGAAATAAGAAATAAACCGCAACGCGTTTTCTCCTCCGGCGTGGGCGTGAAATAAAAGTTTATCTTTTAAAGGCACATTCCTTGAGAAGCTCTTGTCACGGGGATAAAGGAAACGAGGTCGATCGAAAGAAAACACACAGCTCACTCATGGACGCATAATGAAGGAGGCTTCTCCTCGTTCTTCTATTAATAGCATTTTTCGTTAAAACATTATTTTTTAATAAGAAACGACACCCCAGAGCAAACCAGCGGAAACTCGACCGATGGAACGAATTCACTGAACCGTGCCGACCCTTGACTTATATGTAATTAACCCCGCAATAGTACAACTACTCGTAATCCCGCAAACATTACTCCGAGATACGCGCTGCTCCGACGCAGTAGCTGCTAATGAATAACACAACCACTTCAAACAAGTTCAGAACCGCCGCTGAATAAACCTTTCTCTGACAGAAGATTACCAGAAAGCCTAAATAACAAAGTACTGTAAACTTGTAGAAATACTTAAAACAAACGTGCTCGGGGAACGCAGAATCTCGTTATATAATAGAATTTCAACCTTTTGCAAGCTGAGACCTTCAACTCGTCTTTATGCGAGACGTAGTTCGAAAAATATGAAAAATTCACCCTTACATGATAAGTCTCAAGATAATTATAAATACAGAGTACAACGTTATATCTTTTATTAAAATCTGGAATTCAAATCTAGTGCTGAAAAAATTCTAAATGTTCCTATGTTCTTACAGATTCCTTATTTCTTCAAATTTAGCTGAACTACAAATCGAGAACACCTCTGACACTGAACACATCATAAATAACATACGATCAGAATATTTTCTATTCCTTTAAATAATCTGTCCTGTTGTCACCTCGGAAACGATATATTTAAATGAGAATTGCTCCAAGACGCGATGACAGTCCCACAGAATCTCCGACTACTCTTTACCCCGTTGCTGTAGCTCTCAGTAGATCAACGACATTTGTCCCGCGGGCGACGTCCATTAAACCTTTCCCACCGCGGCGGCTGGGTCGAAAAACGCGTTAATCGATTCTATCTTGGCGCGCCTATCTCGTAAGCCTCGGAGACGAATCGAGACAGGAATATATATGATCCGGCTTCGGCACCGCCAATGAAAGCGTGGGTACCCGGGAGTGGAAACGACGCCGGCGACTCAAATCCCTCGAATCACGGCCTAAGTGGGAGACACGGGTTTACGTGTCAAGTACGACAACGTACTCCGGAGGAATTTAGCGGCGCGACCTCCCTTCATCCCCTTTCTCCATAGGGTGAAGCTTAAAGGCACCACTACGCGTTCAAACAGGCGACGATGCATCGCTACGAGCAATGGATTCGAGCCATTTTCACCTTTTGTTTGAGTGCAGTAAGTATCATGACACTTCAGACGACCCAAACCCATCGCTTGCAACCCTCAACAGTAGAACTACTTTCTTTTTCGCGTGGATAGCCTATCATAGGCACTCTGTTTTGGGGAGACCGAGGATAGTGTGAGATTCTTACTAGAGCTCCACGGTGTTCCAGTTTCTGGAAATTTTTTTTAATTGTTACCCTCATGGGTGCTTAATCTAGATGAACACTAGAACTACTCAGTGTTGAAACTAACTTTTCAAAGTTTCTTTATGAAAGCTGGTGTTTTGCTTATATTTCAGTTTGGGTATTATTAAATTAGTTTGTTTAATCATTTCTCTAAGAGGTGTTTATACCTTTTTAGCAACTGTATAAGAGGAAATCAGGAATGAATTATTTTTATCCCTCTGGATAAAAAGAAACTGGAAGAACACCGAATGCGACGAACCGAGATGTAACGATGGTGACGTTATGAATTTTATTTTCTATAGTTAGAAATTATAGTCCCTTCCAGCTCCCTTGCCTCCCTGACTTCTTGTAGGACAAGCGAAGTCCTTTCTTCGTCGAACCTCACAACCGATCTAAGTCTAATATTTCATGATACATGTTATACTAAAACAAAAAGTAAAAAAGGCTCAAACCCATCGCTGGCAGCGATGCACGCATCGCCGCATGTCTCAGCGTGTATAACAACCATTGCGCTCGCGTGCCTCTCGTCCGCCGGTATATTTCTTCAGCGGGGAGCTTTCGCCGAGCCAGAAGTAAGCACGTGTTTTTGCGGCCGCGTCGCCGCGTTTCCACCTTTTTCAAAAGCCTTATAACGCCCGGTTACATTCTCCCCCGAGAATATAGTCCCGGCTGGATCGACGTGTGTGCGCGACGAAGAAAGGGTCACGGAACACCGCGAACGCTTAAGTTTCGCTCGTTTAGCCGGCCCGACGACGCCGACCGTGCACGTCTCGGAAGCCGTCCTACGCCGAGCCGACAAATTATTATAACTAACGAGGAAACCAGCCGCGGACGTCCAAGGCGGAAGTGTCGCACGTTCTCCTTGGAGACGGAAACGCGATAAACCTCAGCTTACCGGAAACTGTTAATTTCTGTGTTTACGAAGTACAGTGAAGCGGTCGAGTCCGCTTTCTCGCTGTCTTCAACAGTTTGAGTGGCACGGATCTTTGCGAAATTCGGTCGAAAATCGACTAGCGCTCCTTTCGTTTCAGTTTAGGAACTGAATGATGCTTTTCTATTTTTACATATAAGATGTGTAAAAATGAGATAAGGTAAGCTGAGATTTGTTTAAAGTTTACTGACTAGTTTCCATTGTTTTGTTTTAGAATTATTGATATCTTAAAAGCATCGAATATCTGAAATGACCTTGAAAATAAAAAGCTTCACTTGAATACTATAATGAATGTTTGAAGAAACCGAAAATAATTTATTGTTAGAATTTTTATAGTGATTACAGATGAATCGTTTTAAATCCGCGGTAGTTCTAGTGTCATTATTCAAATGATAATACTACTATCTCTGCAACTCGTAAACCAGCTCGCAACGTTTCACTCGAATCACAGAGTATATCACCCGCTTCGCCAGCCAACTTTCTGCCATTACTCAGTCCATTTATTAAAATGTAATATTGACTCACGTGTCGTAGCGCAAACACCGTATCAAAAGAAACGAGGAAACTTTTTGACCGAGCCGACATAATGGAAAATACAGTACGCGAGGCAGAAAGATGTATGGTTAAGAAGGGTCCCACGATGAAATCGAGAATTTTATGCGCCCGAAGGAGTGCCGCGGCAAAAGGAGCCCGCATCTGCATCGCCGTTTGCGCGCATCACCCTTTGCATCGCAGAGAACGCGCGTGCACATGTTGCGCGTTATCACGTTCCGCCGGAGCAAAAGGCTGCAAACTTGGCCGATGCAAATCTGGACAAATGGAACGTAGCTGGTGCTGTCGAGTAGGACAAATCGGACAGGAATGGCCTAGTTTTTTTAAAAGAGCCATTATATCATAAACATCCTTGACGCTTGAAGAAAAGGAATATATTTATGAAAACAAACCGAATATGTGTAAGAAGAACAGTTAAACGAGTCACTGTGCAAGATTGAAGACAAGGAAAAACCATTGGAAACATACGTATCTGACGATTTGAACGAGATCGAACCATCTCGCACGGAATTACCCTAAATGTCGGAAACTGCCCAGGGGAGTGATATTGGGAAGGTTCGTGTCCGGCTCGCGAAGAGGGAAGCGGATGTTGGCCGCGTTCGGTTCTTACAACCGCGTGACGACGAGGGAAAAGCGGGTGTTACGAAAACCCAGCTGCGTCAGCGACGTTTCACGTTACGGTTCTCGTCTCTCGCCGTAGAAAACTCGTTAGCACCGTCGAATTGTCCCCGAGAAGCTCGCGAAAATAGAGGATAATACGATTCGACGTGGAACTGCAAAGGCGCGGGTGGACACCTTGCCGGTTGATTACAGC